AGCAAAGGGGGGGCACGCAGATAGGCTATAGAGCCGCCGATAGTATTTACACATTACTTCTGCATTCACAGTATGGAGGGAGATCATGAAGGAGGAAGATGCTGATCTCCCTCCATACTGTGAATGCAGAATTAATGTGTAAATACAATCGGCGGCTCTATAGCCTACCGATCGTAGGGCTGCAGATGGGCTAGCGGATCCTGGGATTGAAGGTGAGGGGGAGTGCGGGCAAATCGCAACATACAATCGATTGGCGGCTATAGAGCCGCCGATCGGTTGTATGTGAAACAGCCGGTAACGGCTGTAAATAATGGACAAGTTTTTTTCTGCACGGCACACGCGAGCAGGACAAAAGCCGTCCGACGGCACCCCGCCTGTGTGAGGCAACCCGCCTGTGTGAGTCTGCCATCTGTCTGTTTTTTTTCCACAACGGGCGGACAGCAAGTACTTAAACTGAACTCCACCTATTGGTTTCTAGCCTGAGACCACACAAGAAAGGGAAAACATCCCCTTGCTAAGACATTCCCCAACTACCCCACAAACCACAGAAAGGAAAAGATTGGGGAATCCCTTTTGACAGATGAGGAAGGTGCCAAAGATCCAAAGTGAGTGGACTTCCTTGGCAAAAACTTGAGCAATGCTGCTTCTTGGTGACCCAAGGCTACCTGTGCTAGATATTCAAATGGCAGACCAAAACATTGGGACTTTTAAGGTGCTGAGACATACCTCCTCACTTATTTGTGTTAAAATCATATTTATTGAATCCATTTTTCATTAAAATTAGGGATGCACCGATACAAGCATCGGTATCGGCGGCGATACCGAGTATTTGCATGAGTACTCGTGCAAATACTCAAACATAGAACGAGTACCTGTGCCGCGTCCGCCATCTTCAGGGACCCAGATTCGCCGCACACAGGGCCTCCATCGCGTCTTCAATCAAGCAAGATGGCCGCGACCTCCTCTGCCATCTGCTCCATTCTGACCTCTTCTCCGCTGATTGGCCGATTGACAGGCTTCCTCACCAGTCAGGCAGGCAGCCTCCCATCTCCCACGCTGTTAGACGTTGCATACAGCGTGTGCTGGTTACTACTTAAACTGGCGCGCAGTGTGCAGCTTCTGAGAAGATAGGCTATTAGTATAGCGGGAGTAACCAGCACATGCTGTATGCAACTTCTAACAGCGTGGGAGACGGGAGGCCGCGCTTGTTGGTGGATCCAGGAATCAGGTGAGTATTATAAAAAATGTGACCTGTCCCTTTAAGAAAAAGTATCGGTAATTGGTATCGGCGAGTACTTGGAAAAAAAGTATTGGTACTCTGCCTTAAAAAAAAGTGGTATCGGTGCATCCCTAATTAAAATTGATAGAAATCAATACAAAATACAATAAATCAAAAAGCACCACAGACCCAACTCTCCAAACCATGTCTGAGGGACTACATAATTTGAGAACAGTCAAATATCAATGTATGATCATCCTTGCACCAATGTCCATGCATTTCTTTCCAGCTTCCCCTGCTGTATGTATTCTTGTGGCCCACTGTAGCTGATACGGTTCAATGTGTTTGCAATATCAAGCTTCCTTTAGGAACTCAAATTGAATAATTGAGATGGTATGTGGATCACTCACTAATTTTCCTGTCTCCACAGGGAGACCCCATAGATGGTGGAGGAGACGGGGATCAACCAAAAGCCACCTGGAGGTTTCACCAGAGACATATATATATATATATATATATATATATAATTTTATATCTTTTAAACTTGCAATATGCATGTTGATGCTAATCAAACCTAATCCACATCATATGGTAAATCTACTGAGGAAGTAATTAGTGGCAGATTTATATATGTTCCAATTCCTCTTACTGTCAGGATGGCCAGCAGTTGTATTTTGCCACATGTTCTGTCTCACTCTTCTCAGGTTGGTAGGTGGCTGCGTCTGCCCTGTCCCCTCCTTGCATAAACTCTGAGTTGGCCATCCTGAAGGGTTTACACAGTCATAGCGCCACACATTTGCTCCAACTGCTCTACCTGTTTGGACACGGTTTGACATAATAAATTCACCTCCAACAGAGGGGCTACTCCGATTAATTCTCATGGGAATTTGTGTAATCATGAAATCTCAAAGGCTTCCACCTGTTCGGTAGTGTGCTTTATTTTGGGCCACTGGAGCATCTGTGGTGGGCATATACCATCTTCTGAGATGGTAAGCAAGACCTCAAACTCAGACTTTCCTGGGCACCCACAAACTAATATAATCTACTGGCGATGGAGTCAGATTGTGTTCAGAGCCACTGGGCACAAACCGTTGATACAGATTGTCCACTGTGGTTTTCAGATGGCATATTAACCCTGTTGTGGCAAAGAGAGGCTTTAAGTACTCAAACTCATACATTTGGTGCTAAAAAGTGTTTGAGGACGGAGAGACTGGAGGATCCACGACACAAAGTCGTAGCAAAAATGTGACTTCAGCCGAGCTGAAGAAAAGGCTTCCAACTTCTTAGGACACAACAAAAAAAAAACTGAGCCATGTTGGGTACAGGAGCGGTACATTTTTTTTTTTGTCAACCTTTTTAAGTGACAGAATAACAAGTCTGTTTCTGAATTCTTGTGTCCGTTAGATTGATGGAGAACAATGTATTTGAAAAAGCTGATGGAGCAGATTATAAAGTAATGTTTACATTAGGGATGCACCGATATATCGGCCGAAAATGGCACTTTTGGCATAATGCCGAAAGAGCCATGTTTCGGCCGATACATCGGCGCATCCCTGGTTTGGCATCATTTTCGGTATCGGCCTAACATTTTTTTTAATTTCGGTTTAAAAATTTCCATTTCGGTGCACCTCTAGTTTACATGCTTGAGGAATGCAAAGGTTGACTATCTCTAGAGAAAAATCTAACAACCTATTAGTTTAGGATAGAGAAGGGGACGGATAAAACCATTAATGTGTCCATGTTTGGAAGATTTCCCCTCCCCTGATGCATTACATATTGCGTGATAAGTCTTTGAATATTGGGGAGAAGCGAGTAAAGTATCAGAGCATGTTGAAAAGATATACACCATTTGTGTGCTGACAAAGTGTCTTCAACATATAGATCAGCACACTGATTGTATTTGTACCTATACTAAGAGCAGATTGTGGAGGAGAATTTGTAAAGTGGAAAGGTGAGAGACTGGCTGCCAATAGCAGTTAATAGATTTGTTGTCCTTGATGCCCGTTTTCAACATTTTTAATGCAAAGTAGCTCAAATACCCTGCTGAGCAGAGAGAGAACGTTTGCTGATGTACATAAAAAAAAAAAAAAATTAGTTACTTTTTGGACAACATCCCAGTGAGTGAAACAGTTCAAGTCACTGTATAAAAAAAATTTATTAACAAGAAATGCAAGAAAAGGCAGGTAAACTTGTGGTGAGTGTCTCTCCCAGGCTTCATGATGCTCTAAGCCAGCACAAACCTGACCAGTCCTTGTTTGGCAGCACGATTTCATTTGACTACTTCACAGACATGCTTTACATGGAAATGATCTGAGCTTCAATAGAAGCAACATTTCATCTAGTTCATTGCACTGTCCTTACAGCAGGCATGGCACTAAATATTCAGAAAGAAGACTTTGCTATGGTGTGACTGAGGAAAGGTTTAGTGGCGATACTCTTCTTGTAGGCGTGTTACTTGCTGAAAGGGATTGTGGGAATAAAAAGTTAGCATTGCTCGGGGGATCAGCAGAAGGGCTTTCATTCTGATTTCGGAGCTGCAGAATCTGGCGCAAAAGGGCTTTACCTTCTTCTCTTGTCTACATGGAGAAAAAAAATAAAAAAAGTTACGGTATCTATAAAGCAGAACCTCGTTAAGCTAAAGCTTCAGCAGCAATTTTCATGAAATAGCACACATCATAGACGAAAAAGCAAGTTAGGTACCTGGTAACTTCTTTTCCAGGAATCTTCCAGGGCAGCATCTGAGAGAGAGAATCCACCCACCCAAACAGGAAACACATCATCCACAATTAAAATAAAAGGGGCGGTACAGCCCCACCACCTCAGTATTACAAAAGAACCGTAGGTAGAAGGACCACCATGATAGTCTACGGCACCTGGTGTTCCCAGGCGGTCTCCCATTCAGGTACTAACCAGGCCCCAACCTGCTTAGCCTCCGAGATCAGATGAGATTGTGCGCTTTCAGGGTGATATGGCCGTAGACCCCAGTCAAGTCTCTTCTTAAAGAGGTAAATGGGATAGTTTGCAGACAGCATAGTCATGCAAGGGCTTACAGGTGCTTGTCTACCAATATATGCATCAAACTGTGCAAGAGATGTAGACCAGAGCCTAGGCCGATACTATGAATGGATCGGCTCAGCCTGTTAGCAGTTGTAGACGGGAAGAAAATAATCCTCACCATAAAAAAGATAGATGCTGGCTCTTTAACAGAGAGGCAGACTTAACCATATAGGAGAGAGTTAAGTATAATAAAAGCTTTAGAGGCTGTTCATATCTGCCAAGGAAGTAAAGCCTTGAAGATAAAGTAACCTCATCCAGCATCTACCCTTCTGTGGGATTTGCGTTGTTAGGCTTCCATGCTCTAACAGGCAAGTAAAAGGAAGTTCACTTAATTAGGGCTGAAGGACATTCCCCAGCACCCGCTTCAGTTGAGAGCAATGAGAGCCCTTCAGCTTGTGAGCTCACAGCCAGGTGGTAAATCAGAGTTGCCAACACCAACAAAAACTGCAGTTTGATGACTCTCCTTACATATGTTCCAACACAAAAAGGAGATTGCCAAAAGCGTGAAACTGGGGAAAATCCCCAATACTCGTGTGTAACACTAACCCCAGCAGTATAGGAAGGAGTAATTTGGTTGCCTATTGTCGGGGGTTGCTGCTTGCAGATTGAAAAGGTGTTTGCACTGCAGCTCATGCCTCCAACTAGCCACATCACTGGTGGAACGACATATCACACATACAAAACGTGTGTTAAGAGGCACCACAACCCTCAGCAACCAACACCCAAAAGGAGGATCACCTCCCAAGGCGCCGCCCCCCCCCCACTGTGCCCTGCCCACAGAATGGGGGGTAGGAGGCAGGAGACTTCCCTCTAAGCCTCCAACCTTCCTTTGGAGCCATTAGTGTCCGTGAATGACACAGCAGAAATCAGGCTGCATGGTTTAGCACTGCCAACCAGAGGAAGCCTTGTGGAACACCTCATGTTCATGACTGCTTGTGGCTCCGTCCCTCGCCCGTTGCACTCCCTCCCTGGCATCTGTGGATGCTGGCGCCAGGGGTACTCGCCACTCCATCGCATAGTTGTCCATTCAAGGAGGCCCTGGATGCCACAGGATATGAATATCCACAACATGGCAGCACACATAGGGAGCATGGATGGCAAACCACCCCATTCAAGGCAAGGTAGAGCAGAACTCTGAGCCGAACCAAATGTGAGTTAGGGAAAGCTCTGCTAGAGCCGATATGCACCCGGGGATGGTTGGTTTTCCTCAAGGCGGATAAGAAACCTCAGGGATAGATGGGGAGGGAGGGTCCCATAATAGAATAACCGGTAGGTTAATCCTCGGACAAGCCCAGGCATGCAACCCCCCATGTCCACTGTCCCTGATTCACGGGGGAGCACACACTGGGAGGCCCCTGCAACTAGCACGCAGGCCTATAGAGAAAATAACAAACGGTTACGCTGCTCCTGTTAGGCCGGAGGAAACACAAAAAACTGCCCTGGTGGGGCTGTACCGCCTCTTTTATTTTAATTGTGGATGATGTGTTTCCTGTTTGGGTGGGTGGATTCCCTCTCTCAGATGCTGCCCTGGAAGATGACTTGGGAAAAAGTGCATCAATAATAGCATAGGCTAGGAGTATTCATCTACTGGCTTTAGTTAAAGGATAACTGTGCATTGTTTTGTACAATTATCCTTTAATAGGATAGAAACAACAGCTAAGATCTGTGAGCCACATAGTGAAGAGCACAGTGCAGGGAATAGGTTTAAGACTAGGGGGAGTGGGAACTTCTGAAAGGATACCTGTACTAAAATTTTGCAGTCTACAACTGTCACCATTTCTATCTACATCACCTGACAACATTACTGCAAGATGTGCCACGTTTAACAACTGGCGATCTTTATCGTGCATTACCATTTAGCCTCCAACAAACAATGCCCCAACAGCACTAAAGGATGATAAAGCATGTCATTCCAGTGTCAGGTATAGAACTACTGGGATGACCACCTTCATGATCTCTAATCTGACTTACTGTATTAGTAACATTTTTCAGTACAAACATAATTTGTAAGTTTGCAAGAATCTTTTCAATGCAATAAGCCAAGCTGTATTTTTAGCTTAATTTATCTGCAAACAACTAGCAAGCAAGTAATATTTCCTTATACCCTCCCAAGCATGTCTACTAGAAGGGATGCAAAGGATTTTTGTACTTACATCATTAAAATTAAAACACTTCTGGGCACATGCTGAAGCTTCATCCCATAGTTTACATTTGAAGTAATACTGAGCCAAATAGCGGAATGCGGTGCTCACTTCCTGGTGCTCCACTATCTCCTAGAGAAGATAAACACAAGCAATCATCTAGCTTTGAAAGCAAAAAATATATTTTTCATTGAATTCATTAATGGATACAGGAATTCAGTAACAGTCGGGTTTTACTGCTGCCTACAGGAGGTTGGGACACTGGCAAATACAAACGGATGAAAACCAGCCTTCCATATTACCCCTCTTCCACCAAGCATGCCTCAGTTTTGTGAGCAAGCAGTATACCAGGCCAGAAGATAAAACACAGAGGAGTGGGGATCTGTGTTCCTCCATTAACTTTAAGAAAAAGATTCTAAAATAAATACAAATATCTTATTTTCTTCATTGAGGCACAGAGTAATCGAGTAAGTTGGGCCGTCTAAAAGCAGTCCAACTCAATGATGGGCAACCACCACAGACAAGCTCAAAAGGAATTTTGGAACAAACACATTTTAGAGGAATCTAAACCAAGGCTAGATGAGGTGGATCCATTTGCAAGACCAAAGGGGAATGAGATCAATCTAGTGCTCTGGACCAGAACAGGAGAAAAAAAAAAAAAAAAACACACAGCCAAGGGGAATCTTCCACCTAAAAGGAACAATGGGTTAGAACTAGCAAGATTCTTGAGATCCATCCATCAATTCAACAAAACCAAGTGAAATAAAACACTACCTGAACAGAAAGAAAAGTGGACCAGCTAGAAGTGGTCAACAGTAAATATTCACTAGGCCAAACTCCAGGAAAAAAAAATGTCCCTAGAGGAAAGTTTGGACAGTCAGCTGAAAAAGGTCTCAACCTTATACTCCTCATCCTAAATTCAGGGAAAAGGAAATGATCCAAGCAGACAACCAGTCTCACAGGGATAACAATGGTTGTGAGAACCTTTATGGTAGAATTATATCTGAATAGATAGACAATGACACCTTGGGCTGGGGAAAGTGTACCAGCCCTAAAGTAAGTCTAAAGGAGAGAGTAGGGTGAGGGAGCAGCACCCTTATGAAGGGCAGGCAGGGATGAGGATATACTGCAATCCAGACTGGTGAACAGCAGAAGGATGAATAGGATAGTTACCAAACACCTGGGGATGTTCATGGGGCTTGACAGACAACACTGCAAACCTTGTTCCAACACATGGTTCTAAGAATCATGCAACCTGCCCCCGAGATATGACGTCTGCTTGCGATATCACAGACGTCAATTGGTGGAGATTCCCAGCGTTAAATCTTTTGGTGAATTGAACAAACCTAAATAGCATGTGATATCTATTAAATAATGGCCGAAATCAGCTAAAAAATAAGCTTTGTGAATTGACACCCCCCCCCCCCCAAAAAAAATCCATACCCAACCCTTATGCCAACAGGAGTCTGGTAGGGGTTTTAAAAGGGGACCCCAGGAAAAGAGACAAAAAAGGCAATATGGAGTTCCCACTTTACACTAGAACGCCAGAAGGCACCCTGGTTGAGAAAGGCTGCTCTAGATGCAGGTATAACACACTGCATCAATCAGGTTAGATTTACAACCGAGTCATTGTAACGGGTCCCGGCGGGGAAGTGGTCACTCCGACCGTCCCCTCTGCTGTAGCAGCCGCTCTGCGTTCCACGGTGGAACGCGGAAGCCGCTCGTTCCGGCCGACGGCTCCTCCTCCTTCCTGGGGGTATTTAAAAGGCTCAGCTGAGGCAACATGGCGTTCCACAATTGGGTTCAGAAGCGCCTGTTGCCTCCTGAAGCCTAGGACCATCTCCCCTGGATTGTCAGAGCCGGAACCTTCCTCTCGAGTACAGGAATCACTGCACCCCTCACATTGTGCAAACCGCAAGTATTGCTCCAGTTGGAGTCCTAAGCCTTGATATTTTGAAGCAACCTCGCTAAGTGATATAGACTGTCTAGAGGATTACTATCAGCTGTCTGTGGGGATTTTCGCATTGCTCAATCCCTGTCAATACGGGGTCATTGTTCCTCACTGCTTATCCGTATTCAAGTTTCCTTACTGTATAGAGACTGTAAGCTATGAAGCAATAGCCCACACCTCTCAACCCTTTCTATTTTTGTTCTAAGGCTGTGATGCAAGAATCTCTATCTCCCCGATAAAGATTGGGAGCGAGATTCACGCCTGAGAAGCCTTCAACTACTACCTACGTTAGCTTATACCCTCCGCAGTTGAGATCCTATCCGTTTCAATCAGAGCAGGCGTGACAGTCATTTCCAGGTGGCTCAAAAACAGCCTATCCGAGAGTTGGGACTCTGAATCAGGGCCTCAGGCTTGGTTTGATTTAGGGGCCCAGGAGGGTTCAAGATAGAATCTGCCAGAGATGGCGTCAGATACTTATAAAAAGTCTCTGTAGGCAGAGTGCTCCAGTAAATGGGCATGTTCAAAGCGGACACGGAAGGCCCTGTGGACATGAGGCAGGCAACAGTTCTGCCTGACGGAGTTGAAGACTCCAAATAAGATGACCTTGTAATAATAAGGGTCTTTGGTTCTAGACTAAAGATACCATTTCTTTAGGGAATACTGGATAAATTCCCCCGGGACCACTAGGGAATTATGGGCTAAAGTCACCCGTAGCAGCGGGACTGTCTTCTGCATACCTTCGAAAAGAGATGATGCAACTCCAAGTGAAAAGCAACTAGACCCATTCTGAGGCAAAGCTTCAAGTACTCACAAACTTGGAAAGTCTGTGCTGATGAGGGTTTTAGGCAGCAAGAGGTGACCAAGTCACTGTATGCAGCCAGTGCAATGAGACTGGAGACCGGATGATGATCCAAGTGGTGCTTCCTCTAGGCTGAATGGTGGGAAAGAGATCGCTTGCATCACTCCACCTATTGGATAATGTCAGCACTCGATCCCACAGTCTCAACCCTTACGCAGTAAAACCGATTGTGGCGGGAAATTTAACAGGTAACCAATGATGCCAGGTATGACTGAATTCCTGTGTCCATCAAAGGACCATTGAGAAAGGAAGATTTGTGCTTACCCCACAAGTATTGATATCCTGGATGTATTTGATGTAACACTGGGCAGCCTGCTCGGTTTCATTCAGTTGTTCATGAAGTCTTAATAGGAAAACAAAGATTGTAGAAATATTAAACACTGAATGCTGTTCAGAGAAGATAAACGAAATAGGAGGTTCACACAAATGACATTTTTAAAACCAAAAATAAAAAAAAGGTCAGGCTGAAACCAAACATTTAAAAAAAAATATTTTAGTTATTTTTTTCTAAACTTGGGGAAATATTGGGAAATAAGCTTTGGGGAAATATTGGGGGTCTAAACAGACCCCTGATATTTCCCTTTTAAAATAAAAAAAAGAGATTGAGAACACAAGCCCCTGTTATAAAGAAACATGAATCCTCTATACTGAGTGTTCCTGTTCATGTATAACTTGCGGAGATAGTCCGTTTACCATGTCCACAATCATGAATGAACAGGAAGCGATCTAGATCACTTCCCATTCATTCATAATTGGGGACACAGTAAACATACCTTGTACTCAATTATTTTCTGATCACTGAGTGTTTGTACCCGCTCTCACAGGAGACTGAGCGAGCGGTGCGGTGGAGGAGAGCTCGATCTCCTCTGACAGCTGACTCCTCCCCCGCAGCGCCGGCTCGGCCTCCTGTGACAGCTGTCTCCACCCACACACTGCCACTCTCCTGATCTGTCAAAGGTGGCTGAGTGGGGCGCTGCGGGAGGAGAGCTCAGCCTCCTGAGCCTCCTGTGAGAGGAGAGAAGAGCAACGGGAGTGAGCACAGCAGACTTTCTAAAGGGATTAAAGTAGTAAGACTTTATTTTAAAACATAAATGAATGTGGCTTTGGAGAATGTTCATTGTGTAGATGTGTATAAAGAGAAAAAAGCGGAGGGGTTTTGTGTCGCTTTAAATGTTCAAACATATAAAACTGAATATGGCTGAATGTGACCAATTTAAAGTAAATTTTCAGGAGCAAATTGTTTTATGACAGATTCCTGAATACTTGTTATTTACTGAAAACAATATTGACGCATAATATCTAATGGAAAAAAACAAGAAAAACCTGGTCACACGTTGGACTTCAAATGGACCTTTACCCCCCCTTTACTAAAAATCACTTCAGCAAGCAGCTCTTCAGCATGCAAATCTACTTCCTGGTCCACTTCTGGCACAAATTATGTAATGTGCCAAAGCGTTGCATCCTGGGACGGTTACATCAGCAGAGCATTGCTAAGAAATCTCATGAGATCTCAGGAAAAACATTCCTGAGATCCGTGACAGGGGGAGGGGCTGGATTCCCCTCTCCCCGCTCCGATCTGCCAGCGCTGACTGGCGGAACGGACGGGGGAGGGTACAGCTGGCTCTGCCTCTAGATAGGCAGAGGCAGCTGTCACTCACGCAGCTGGGCGGATCCCGTCATCTACTTCGGGATCCGCTCCGGCGTCTCAGTATACCGCGAGGTTTCGCTCGCGGTATACTGAGCTTAGGGTAACGGGAGGACGCTAGTTTGTGTCCTCCCGTTACCCTAAGGAGAACTATGGGGAAAAACACTGACCCCATAGTTCTCCTTTAAGTAAAAATGGGCCCTAAGAGCTCTTGACATAATGTGAAAAGTATGCACAGCACATTATGGCACACTTACCTCGGCAGTCCTCATTTGACTGGCCTGGTATGGCTGGACAGAATCTGGAGCAGCTGTGAATGGCAACCAATCAGCTTCTGTTTCATTTTCAAATCGTAACTGGACAAACTGAAGAGAGAAGCTGATTGCCATGCCAGGGGCAACTGCTCCAGATTATGTCTGCTCCAGCTTTGATAAATCCCCCCCCCCCATATCTTTTTTGCCATAAGAAGCTACCTGCTAGAATTTTTTGGGATCAGCTGCAAAGGGAAGTTCTGCCCAGCATGAGAAGACATTAGGATTTAAAAGGAAGAGCAGCAAAGAGAAGGGAAACAACCATGGATTACAGTAAGGCACACATTACAGTATTGGTTTATGTTAAAAAATCTGAGGGTTTAATGTCACTTTAAGTTCCACTTTAACAGAAGACACCACAAAGTGACTGAAATCCTCCCTGGTCCAGAAAAAAAAAATTAAATGAGGCTTGTGATGACTTTCAGTTTGTTAATGAAGCTTTGATTTTCGACCCAATTCCCACCTGCTGGCCCCCAAGACTAGTTAAAGTGCCCTCATTGGTCAGCAAGGCTTTCTAATGGGACAGAGGATGACATATTGGTGGATCTAAGCCCTAAGCTTGAGGCCTTCCTAGGAAACTATAATACATTGGTAACTGAGAGGCTTTCCTGGGCAAGGGGAAAACAGCAAGTACCTTGTTAAAATGCACCAATTTAGTATGCCATCACCTAACAGGCACATGACTTTAAAGGCTTAGTCAGCATCTGCATAAAAGCTTTCTAGGTTTTTGGGGGATCTAAAACAAGACAGAGAAGTGCCTGCTATTTACAGGTAAAAAAACAACCACCTCCATTTTAGCATTATGAACCAGTCCTAACACATTATTTCCAGTTGGGGAGAAAACTTTCCAAAAAAGCTTATCGTGGTGCTTTATAGGCAGCTGAAAAAAAGAGATATGCAGAAATCAAGCAGAATAGTGGAAGAGGAGAGTGTAACAGGAAAATCTTTATATCCCAACTCTTAGGGTGAATTGCAATCTATGCATTATGCATTACACCACCACAATGCCGAGGTACAGTATACGTCCATTGTACTGCCACTGATTTTGAATGCCACCCTAAAGCCTCATTCACACTGGAATCGGCCGGCACGTACAGCTCCGTATGGGTGTGGGTGTCCCAGCTCGCACGCAGACAGGATCCATCCAGTCAGCGTAGGAGTACGCTCACCGGCACCCATACAGACGTGGAGGGCGGGCGAGCGCAGGGGGGCCTGCTGCCGCCTAGTCCCATAAAGAAAGGACGGGGGGCTGTGTACTAATCACACGCAGCACGTGGCGGCCGATTGTCGTGTGAATAAGGCCTAATGGACATACACAGCACAACGCGCAGGTAATGCAATGGGTAAAAAAGCAGATGTGATTTTACGTTTGTAGCACTGAGCCGACAGCCAATACAAAATGAAGGGATGCCATAACGCAAGGTTAATGCACTGTAACAATGTGAATCCAGCGTTAGCGTCCATACTCATACAATCTTCACACTGGGAGTTTGCCACGTTCTAATGAAAGAGAAAAGAAATGCCACTACTCACTTTGCCAGTTTCACCAAGGCCATTTTCTCCACATCTCCAACGGCATATGCTCTCCAGTAACACTGCCAAGAGAGTAAAAGGTGTACATTAAGCCCCAACCTTCTAAAGCTACAGAGACTTCAATCACTCTTGTAGCTTAGAAATAAGACTGTATAGGAAGGGGTTAGGAAAGGATGAATGTGTGTTTTTAGAAATATCCTGTTGTTATGGGAGCAGCAGGTATGAAAGTGGTGAGAGACTCCCCAATATTCAACATCTCAGAACACCTCTACAGGTGATGCCAAACATTTCGGTAACCTTTTTGAAAGCTGCATGAACACAAGGCAAGGGCAGAGTACTTACTTTGTTTAGCCAGTCTTATGGTCACACATCTCTGCCATGCTTTAAAGAACTTCAGAATTGTCTTTATTAATTAACCCTTGCAGTGGGGCTTCTTCTTGGACCAGTCCTTCCAGTGTCTCCCCCCTCCTCTGCAGTGGTCAAAGGTCCCATAAATATCATGTTCTATACACCGTGTATAGACATGAGGATGCCGAGGAAGATTGCAATGCTGCAAGGAGGGGGAGAAAGGCTGGAGGGAGCGCTGTGACAGCTGACCAACCTGGAGGTTCGGGCGCGTCGAATTTTGATATTCGACACAAAAGAGCACTTAACCCTTGCCCCAGTGCAAGGGTTAATTTTAAAAATCCTGGAGTTCTTCTTTAAAGCCAAGTGGGTGACATCCTTATGTGCTGGTTGATATTTTCTGCATCCAGTGTCACCTCTCCATATACAGCTTGCTCACTGGTAATAAATCCGCATCTTTGTCTAGTTAGCGGGGAAATGACCCAAGAAGCAGTAAAGCTGAACCAGTAAATAGTATAGTAATATTACTGGCTGTACAGTGTGGCCCTGATCTGCAAGAAACAAGACTGGTAGAATGAAGTGCGAGGAATTACTTCAAAACATAAAGAAGTAAATAACTGCACAGCTATAGAAAATGAAAGACCGACTATGCCAATTCCTTTTTAAGCCAAACATGGACAGGTTCTCTTTAAGGTAAACACTAATATAATAATTTATATAGGAGATATCTCCTCACAGATTATACACTTTACTTTCCCTTCAAATAGTGGAGTTTCTTTCCGAGTGCCCTTTACAATTATATTCCATGTTCTATGTGTGTCACAGGCTTTGTTACAGCGACCCTTTCTTCTATACCTAAATGGGCACACTTGAGCTGGTTAAAAAGAAAAGCGACATAGTACCAAGGAGCATCGATCGATTTCCACATAAACAAAAGTAAAGCACATACCTTCTTAGCTTCCACAAGTTGGTTGAGCTTTTCATAGCATTCCCCCAAGGCAACGAGCATCCGAGAGTCATTGGGTCTAGAAATAAAACATGTTAGTCTCCTTAGAACACAGCTACAGTTTTCTGTTGGAGAATAATTGTTCTTACCTGAGCTGGTGGGCACGTCTGTAATAATAGAGACAATAAAATGGCATCTTTAGGATTTCATAGGTCTGCCCCAATCCATACCAGGCTCGATAATCTCTCTTATTGACTTCAATAGCGTGTCTGCAAAATGGTTACGAAGAAACAAAACAGAACACTTTATAACTGTGGGATGCACTACAACTGGCTAGACACGATGTGCTAGAACATAAGAGAACTAGATTTTTAATAGGTTTAGCTGTTACCGTTGCTCTGATCAGTAGGGATGAGCTCAGGTTCGGACAAAACCCAGTCCAAACCTGACCTCCTCTGAACACGGAAGGAAGCTCCTTCCACTGCCGCCCAATCAGCTGCGGCCAGCAAATTTCCCACCCGCATGTAAGTAAATAGTCGGGATGCTGTGATGTCATTGACCTTTTATGGTCACATGGCCATATAAAGTCAATAACATCAGCACAAGCATGCTGCCCCTTTGGGTATGTGCAGCTGCAGGGAATGCCCCAGCCCACAGCCGATTTGGCACTTCAGGGGAATTCATGGTCGGACCAGGTTTGATCTTACCCTGAACTCATTCCGATTATTCAACTCCAGTAAAGACATGAAAGGCTTTATTTAGACCTGATTTTCTTGACATGAAATCAGCACAAATGATATATTTTTGCATAGCTGATGTGTTTGGAACTAAACCATTCTGGATTCTGCTTCAACCACTCCAATACTCAAACTTAAACCAATCTAGCTCACCATAAGCTGCCTGGTCCAATGAACCAGTATAGCATTCGGGCTGCTTAGGGGTACATTCCTTGGACTGAATGCTTCCATCATCAGACATGTTTTGTTTTTTTACAGCCTGAAAAGATATTCCAAATTGCTGGAAAATCTCACTGCAACCTGCTTATTCATTTTCACTACTCAATGAAAAGAGTCAACTGTACATGTTTAAGGGGGGGGTTCTGAGTAGTACAAGTAACAAATGCTACAAAGATCAGACTTGTCCTAGTTTGTTCTTCTCAGAGGCACATTTGCCCATCTATGTCTTGCCAACAGCTGCTAAAGACTTTGGGGGAGTTTATCAAAATTGGAGAACGAATCTGGAGCAGTTGCCCACGGCAACCAATCAGCTTCTCTCTTCAGTTAAGTTTTTTAAATGAAACAGAGAAGCTGATTGGTTGCACAGCTGCTCCAGATTTTGATAAACGCCCCTCTTTGTGTATTGGCAACACTATATGGTGCTTCTGCTTACAGCACATATGTCACTAGTCAAAATCCCTTTAATACCTATATGCTTGTATCGCCGCAGAGGTGTTCTTCATCTCCATGTACTCATGACCCATCAGTGTCCAAGCACCAAGATATCGAGGGTTCAGTTTTAATGCCCTTTGAAAATACAAAGCTGCTTTCTCATGCTGGGAGCGCAAGCTGTAATAGTTGCCTGTGTATAAAGAGAATTTGTTTAAGAAGAATTGTAGTAGCTAACTGGATATCAGTAATGCCTTTGGGGTGCTTGCTCACCAATCACACAGCAGGTTTCCACGCGATACTTGTCAATGTCACACAAGTTGTGTGCCAAGTAGCTCAATTCCGGCTTTAGACCCTTGGGAAGGCAGAACAAGTTACTGGAGCCGAAACATCAGGGTAACCAATAAAACATATAAAACTAGAATATAAAGTGCCTTACTCTGACATATAGGAGGTTTGAAAAAGTGTCCATGTTTTCTATTCTGTAAGGATCCTGCTTCCGTAACTCATTGAAAATAGAGAGAGCTTTGTCAATATCTGTTGATAAAACATTATATTCATTATTACTAGGGATCCACCGATATATCGGCCACGGAAACATATCGACCGAAAAACGGCACTTTTAGCATTTTACACTGTGTCAGGAAGGAGAGCGGTACAAACACTCAACAATCAGTGATCGCTGAGTGTTTGTAAATAATTGACATGGTATGTTTACTATATCCTCAATTATTAATAAATGGGAAGTGGTCTACATCACTTCCTGTTCATTCATGATTGTGGTTATAGTAAACATACTGATCTCCAAGTTATGAATGAACAGGAACACTCAGTATAGAGGCTTCTTGCTCATTTATAACAGGGGCTGCAAAAAAAGAGATTGAGGACGTTGTGTTCTCAATCTCTTTTTCTGTTTTAAAAGGCAAATATCAGGGGTCCGTTTAGACCCCTAATATTTCCCTTTAAACCCCTAAAAAATTAAAAAAAAAAAAAATAATTATAAATTAAATACAATTTAATTATAAAAATTTAAAAAATATTTCAAAAAATTAAAGTTGATTAAAAAAAATATGTATAAAAAAAGTGAAAAAGTTAGAATATTTTTTTTTTCGTTCTGACATTTTTTTTCATTTCGGTGCATCTCTAATTATTACTGATAACAACATTTCAACCTTTACATCTGCCAGCATCATCTGGCCTTACCTCTAATGTTATGGTATGCAACAGCAATCTGGGAAATGATATAAGTGCTCTTGGAGAAGCCAGCGTCAATAAGGCTTTGATATTTTTGTAGGGCCTCCTCAATCAGCTGCTGCTCAGTGTATATATGTGCCAGGAAAAACTCTTTTATCCAACAGTCTGGCAGAGAAAGAAACTTCAGCTGCAGAAGTAAAGAAAAAAGCTTTGTAAGGAACACCAGTCCTATTTAAAACAGGTGGTATTACTAGCTGGCTCACTATTTCACCTATTTTCCCTAGAGGGTACACTGTTGGGGTAAGGGGCATTTTGGAAAACTTGCTTTGCAGCATAGACAAAGCACAGGTTTGTTTTCGTGTACACCTGTCATATGGGCGGCTGACATCTTTCTGTAAATGATGGTTCTCTGGCTGTCTTGCTGATGTGTAGGAGTTATCTTTTGAGTCAATGATTTAGAACACAAATAATGTATTTGTATGGACATCTGACCAATAATCCTACACTATACAGCACAAAATGGATACCCTTCCATAATATGGAGTTCAGCTTACAAAAGAAATCTACACAATTATGTGTTTCGAACCTTTTGTTCCAGCATGACTGTGTCTGTATGCACAAAGACATGGTTTGATGAGTTTGGTATGGAGGATCTCAAGTGGCCTGCACAGAGCTCTGACCTCAAAACCTACTGGACCCCTGTGGTGAGTCAGGTCTTCTTGCCCAACATCAATGCATGACTTTCCAAATGCTGTTTTAGACACACTTTAAAAGGCTTCCCAGAAGAGTGAGGCTGGTATAGCAGCAAAGGTGGAAATAATGCTGGCGGGGAAGAAGGGGCGCTATATTCATGTCTGTTGTTTTGGAACGAGATGTCCAACAAACACATATAGGTGTGATGGTCAGGTGTCCACAACTGTTTGGCCATATAGAGCATATGAGCTAGTATTCAATAGTCCTCTATTTGGACTATTAACAGGTGGACCTTTAGGCCCCGTTCACATTGAGCAATTTATCGCACGGTAATTCCCGCGATATCGCGGCAATTTACCGCGCGATATCGCTCTCCAATGCTTCTCAATGGGGCAAAGGGTCCTGCTGTCGCGGGTCGTGTGTCGCTACAGCAGGACCCTTTTTGGAGCGGATTTAGCCGCGATTCAAGCTTGCTTAATGCAAGCATTTGCGCGATAACGCGCAAAATGCAAATCGCGCAACAAACGTGCGATTTGCGAACTGCTCAATTTGAACGGGGCCTTAGGCTTTTTATGGTTTCATCTATCTTCCTTTGCTCTAAAAAAAAAAACTGAAACAAAAACAAACAGTCTGTTTAAATAGCTCTATATGTGAAATGTCACACACCAAGTGATTAAGTCAGAGCAGTATCTCATCCCTTAGTGGACAGCTTAGTCCAAGGTTCAATCAGACAGAATGAGCCTGAAGGCATGCATCTGTTATCTCTTTAAAAGAGGACTATGGAGTAATTGTTTTTCCCCATAGTTCTCCTAAGGGTCACGGGAGGACATAAACTAGCGTCCTCCTGTGACCCAAAGTTCAGTATATCGCGAGCTACAGCTCGCGGTATACTGAGACCATCGCAGCCGGGACGGATCCCGACATTACTGTCGAGATCCACCCAGCTGTGTGAATGACAGCAGGCTCTGCCCATCTAGAGGTCAGCGCTGGAGGATCGGAGCAGAGGAATCCCTGCAGGGAGCCGTGACTGACAGTCACGGCTCTCTGCAGGGACATGATTGAGAAGTGATCGAGCGACGCTATGTCTTCGCTGACTTCCCAATCTATTGAACTGACGTGTGACAGTTTCATTGTCATAAGTCGGCTCCAACTATGAGGCTGAAGGAAAATCACTCAGCCCATAGTCTCCTTTGAAATAACAGTTGATTATTTAATGTTTATTTGCCAAACACAATGGGTGGAATTTATCAAAACTGGAGCAGAAAGAACCCGGAGAAGTTGCCCATGGCAGCCAATCAGCATTTCTCTTCAGTTTGCTCAGGTAAGATTTTAAAATCTGTTTCAGATTTTGTCTGCTCCAGTTTTGATACATTCCCCCAATGTATACAGATAGTAAAAGAGATAAAAGAATATTAGTTTATAAAAAATTAAATTGACTCAAAACCATAATAGTTCCCCTTCATTTATTCAGGCAAAGACAACCGACTTTCAAATGCTCTAGGCAATATATTTACCATTTCTTTGTCTGTTATTAGGTTGCAAAGCTCTAGCCATGTTCCCCAGTGCAAGGGTAAGACGTGTGTCGCCTCCACAAACACATCCAGAGCTTCTTTAGCCAGGTCCAATTTCCGCAAAACGACCCCATATCTACAGACAAGAAACAATGGTGATGTCTGGAAGAAGAATTATGGTCAAAGGAAAGAACATACGCTGGCTCACAACTTACAGATATAGTCCAAATCCATCCAGTTCCCTGGCTTTGTGCTTCTTACTAAGCTCTACACGAAGTTCACGAAGAGCCTCGTTCTTCACCTGGCCTTTCTCCAGAGGACCTGAAAAGAGGTGAAAAGAATCTCGTTGAGACTTCTCTTTACTTCCTGCCCTGGGGACGCAACAAGAAGTGAGTGGAAATCACTTTTTTTTTAGAGGGAATCCCTTCTTAGTTATAGGAAGAGGTGTGACCACTGAAAAATTATATTTAGTGGCAAAAGTGAGCTAACCGACATAAAATAAAAGCTTTTAAACTTGTATATATAGTCTCCTAATTGCTTATATGTATGTTTTATTAAATGTAACCATTTGTATAATTTAAATGATAGTAAATTATATTGTTTTATACTAAATGTGGAATATAGATTGTATGGCACAGGTCACTGAGCAGACCAGATCCTAGACAGAAAAGTCAGCACTCCCCTGGACTACACCAACCTACACTAATCCTTCCTCCCAAGTTTGTAATACATACTCTCCTCACACCATTCAACTCCACAGGACATTGATCAGGACGTCACAATAGTCTACTCTATTAAATGAATCCTCTGTTTGATTTTTATTGATGTCTGTGTCCCCACTAGGGCTATTAACCCTCTCTATTTGTCCTGGTGACCGCTATCACTAGAACTGGAAGAGAAAATACTACATTTTGAGTGGTCAAAAGAACAACAGAGTGGTAGGGATGCACCTATACTTTTCAGATACCAATGCCGATACTTGGCATTTTCATGAGACCTACCAGGGTTACAGCTGGGACCTGGCTCTGGCGCTCCACCACTGTCCTGAAATCATTAGTCTGTATTGTTTTAGAAAAACTGTCACATGACAATAAACAGAAATGTATCAGTACTTGTATGTGTGAGTACTTGGACGAGTATCAGTACTTGTACTTGGAAAAATGGTATCGGTGCATCCCTTTATAGGTTTATAAAAACAAAAATAATGCATTAAAACAGAGATGTACAAATCCCAGGAGCTCCGTGTGCTCCTTACAAATGACAGCGGCCTCCTAACTTTTGAGTCTTTCTGTAGTCTAGTCTTGAGGCTGGAAAAGTATCTGTACTTGTACTGAGTATAGTACTTGGTATCTGAACATCCCTAGAGTGGATGTCTTCCATAAGGAACATTTATTCTAGTGACAACTGTCCAAAGCTGGCAATACACGTTTCAAATGTTGGCTGTTTCCTGCTAATTTGTAAAAAATTGACCTTTGGGTGGCCCTGCAAGGACCCCTCGACTCAACAAAATTCGATTTTTCAAATCACCTTTTGATAAAGAAGCCAGGTGAAACATTGTGGGCCAAACAGTGACTGCAACCAATCAGCTGCAGTCACCATTGGGATATTCTCACAGATGCAGGCACCATCTGTCAGAATACAATAGCTGGCAGGGGAGATTCCTCCGTCCACGCTCTTTAGTGTAAATGGGGAAATCAAATGGCTTTTCTCATTCAGCCTGTGGGGGCTAAACAAGTAAAATCTTACAGTGTATGGCCAGATTAACTTTACCGTCCTTACTTTAGAGAAAATTCCTCTCATTTTTTGTTTGATCTCCGAGACAGGAAGTGCAGAGAAATGATCCCAATAGTAAACAGACAAGCAAAAATAAAGTGGCACGTTCTTAACTCTACCCAAAGCTAGAAATAAAAGTTTGGGCTATACATACACAACAGGTAAAACAATACAAATCTATTGAAGCACAAATCCAGGGAAATGTTTTCTTTACCTGAGCATTGGGGCTACCCCCACACTGTTCCTTTTCATCTAGGTGCTAAAATAAAAAAGTTATACTAACCCAATCCTTGGAGTCGGCTTGCTCTTAGACCCGTCCTTCCAGTGTCTCTCCCCCTCTGCTGCAGCGGCCTAAGGTCCCCAAGTCATCTAAGGTTCAGGTAAGTATAACTTTTTGCACCTAGACCAAAATGAGCACTTAACCCTTGCAGTGTGGGGGTAGCTATACTGCAAGGGTTAAGAACAAATTTCACTGGAGTTCTTCTTTAACCCGTTCGCTGCCACGGACGTATCTCTGAATTGGTGCTGACACTCCTTCCTTCTGGAGGATGGCTACTCTTGTTCCCCATGGGCCCTCTGTGTGTGTTGTAAAGTAGTCAACGATCCAAGCTCTCTCCTGTGATGGACTACAATCTCACTTTTAGTTTATGAATTTGTATTGAGATTGTAGTCCATCACAGGAGAGAGCTTGGATCGTTGACTACTTTACAACACACACAGAGGGCCCATGGGGAACAAGAGTAGCCATCCTCCAGAAGGAAGGAGTGTCAGCACCAATTCAGAGATGATCTGAGGATCTACAGCCGAGTGATACACAAATAAGTTAAATTGTTGTTAATAGTTAAGGTACTTGAGTGTTTTTTTTAGGATTTAACAAGAGTTTAGTGTCACTTTAATGCATAATGTACACAAAGGTTTAATGAGGGTTCTCATGTCTCCAATTATTCCAGGAACATTCTTGAAAAATTAAATTCCACAACAAGATCTAAGCTTAAAAAAATAAAAACTTTGTGCTAAATATCATACAAATTCACACTGCTGTTAGAAAACAAATATATATATATATATATAAAATTGCCACTGTAAAATCATACAAAATGAAAATTCTTACCCAAACTATCTACCGTTTCATCATCCTTCTTCTTCTCTCCAGACTAGAGGAAACAATGATGATAATAATCATAAATAGCTGCTGTAGTTCATTTTCTCTTCTATATAAGATAGCCAGATACAATTCATGTGCTTGCTAAAACTGAAAACATTATAGTAATACATGTAATGCGACCATCACTTTTCTCAAATAAAATGATCAGTTCACTGCATAAAAATGCCTAATGCCTGAAAAAAATAACTGTTTTGTTTGCACTGCAAAGCAATTTAGTAGGACATAGATCTTGCTGTTGGAGTATCCATGACATAGGAAGCCAGCAGCTGACACCATTCATAAAAGGTGCACCAATAACAAAATATCATTTCTGGTGAACTGACCCTTTAAAAGAGAACTATGGCCAAATCTTTTTTGGCTATAGTTCTCTTTTGGGTCACAGAAGTACATTTACTCATGTCCTCCTGTGACCCAAAACTCAGCATATAGCAGGTAGAGCTGCTGTGCAGCCTGGGAAAGATCCTGACAATATTATTGGGAACCACCCCGCTGCCTGATTAACAGCTGGCTCGTCCTCTCTAGAGGTAGAGCCAGCTGTAGCCGCCCCCTCCCCTGTCTGTCCCTCCAATGAGCACTGGAGGAACGGAGAGGAGAGAATCCCTGCAGGGAGATCGGGAACTGAGTGATCAGTGGTCAGTTCTCAATCAATAGAGCCGAGGTGTGGCTCTAACTATGGGGATGGGTGCATTTCACTCTCCCCATAGTTCTCCTTTAACTCTACAAACAATAATATACCATGTTCTTACCAAATACCTTGAGTACATGTAAAGGAAGTAAGCTTTCTGGCTCTTGCACCCTCGAAGGAAGTACGCAGCTCTATCATACTCTTTTAAGTCAAAATAAGACTTGGCCAATGTATAGGCATCCAGATCCTGGGCATCTTCCTGGCAAGAATAAAATATAAGTTGTCATTTAGACTGAGCATGACATAATATTTAACACTTATTTATAAAAACTGGAGGGGGGAAAAAAGGAGTTAAGTTGCTTTCTATAGGAATCAGACTCCTGGTAAAATAATTGAGGAAATTGGAAAATTAAACAACCTTCAGGTCAAATTTAATTTAATAGAATACCACATTGTGGCCACTAGATGGAGCTCAAGAGTGTTGGTTATGTGTTTAGATGAAGCACTGAGACCTTGAGGAATGCTGAATTATGTTTTACTTGTTTAGCAGGACATTACATGTATGTCTACAAGAATACAGCATTATCATGAAAACATTTATACAGATAGAACTTCCTGTATCTATCATAAATAAGTATACACAAGCATAGAGACCAACACTGCACCGCAGTGCCATCTACTGCTCAAAAGACATATCAGTAAATTAGTATAAGCTGTTGTATTTCCTCTGCTCCATCTAGTGGCCATAATGCAGCATTACATTACATTTGACCTGAAAAGAAACTAACGTCATCCGTCTTGCCTCTATTTGCACAGAACGAACGTTCTCAAAGATTCACAGGGGGAAGATGTGTACATACTCAAAACATATTTAAACATACCTCAGTAAGTGCAGGCATCGGTGGTAGCTCATTTAAAGGAATGGATTCCAATGAGAATGCGAGTTCAGATGCCCTGCAAATTACAAAATACCTTTTTTTTTTTTACTATGGTAACAAACTGGTATTTAAAAGGTTAGTTCAAAAATGAAAAGGTATAGTCACTCACAATACCCTTCCCGCCGCACCCCCTCCGGTCCCTGCTGCACTTAGCTGCTTAGATGACAGCCGCCCATGGCAGTTAATGTAAAAGGCCACACACTTCAAAACTTCACTGCACAGTGCTAAAGACTGTGTAGCATCATAATCCATGGCGACTGTTCATTGGTTCATTGATTGCGCTGACCAATGTGAATTTTTCTTCTTCCAAGATGCCATCCTGGAATTGATTTAGCAGACTCTTCCATACCAGATTAGCAACAGAGGAGGTGTTTTGGCTTTAGCTATACTTTATTGCAGGAGTCTCCATACTATGGCACACAGGGCACATCTGACCTGCAGCAACCCCGGTAGACTGGCAGTGGATGTACCAGTCTGTGCATTCTAATATGGAGACCAGTGCATCCACTGCCAGCCATGACTGCCCCCGCTGTGTTCAGTTGCTAGGACTGCTGGCATCCTAGCAACCAATGATGTGACTGCCCTACCCCCTGGATTTTCTCCATCTAGACCTGCTCCAACTCCCAGATTCCACCCTGCTGCCTGGAAGGTGGGACTCTGCTGGGCACTCCTGGATGTAAGTGGGGGACTCTGACAGGCACTCCTGGTCACTCCAGTATGTAAGGGGGAATTAATTTATAAACATGATTTTTTGGGGGGCCTGTCCGTAAACTATAGGATGTTTCTCTCATACTGAAAGGGTAGGAGAACCCTGCTGTAATGCAACTATAGTCCTCGGCATAAGACAAGATGATCATCACCATGCACATTCAGTAAGGCCATGTACGGTAATCAAATATCATTCATCAGCATTCAGATTTTATTGATCTGCCCCCTCTAAATGTAAAAGGTGAAATGTGATGTAATCAGATATGACATCAACAATGCCCTGTATACACTTATCCCAGGAGCACACTGGTCCCTATCACCCAGGCACAGTAATCTATAGAAAAGATGAGCGGTGATGTTCTCATTCTGATAACACCCAGTTATGACAGTGCTGCTGTTCACTGTCCAGGCTCAGTCTCTCACCATTTCACGCTGTGTAGGAGGCCCCGCTCCCGGCACAACCAGCTCACACTCAGTAACTGTTTCTTAATCTCCCGTAGATCGGAAAACAGACCACTCGCCGCCGCCATGTTTCCCAGCAAGCGTCACCGATTGTGTTATGACATCTACCAATCAGAATCCAGTTTACTGCTTCCGCCGTACCAATGTACACGGCACGGCCTCAGGACAGAGCCGCCCTAGGAGCCTTCTGATAGGCTGAGACGCGCCAGAGGATGACTGAGCGCGAATTCTAACTGCATTGGGCAGTTGCTGAGTGTCGTTTACTAATATGTACATAAAAGAAATAGAATTTCATATCTGTGTGCGAGTCTGACTCATGGATTCCAGCCGAACAACTAGTATATTCAGAACAAGTTGGCAGTTATTGCTGCATTCTTTTCTTCTTTAACCCTTTTGCTACCAGAGACATATTTTCCCCCTCTTGCACACATGTTAAAATGAACATTTTGGGCCTGAAGATTACTTAAACTCCCCCAGAATTGTATACTTTCTCAAAGCTGAGATCATGTAGAATAAAATGGCAGCAGATGTCACATGAATAAAATGGCAGCAGATGTCACATGATAATAGCGCAACTGTTCATCAAACCCACATTTTCAGTAAAAAATACCTTGAAATGTATTTTAATGCACAAAACAATAAACAGTTTGTTGGTCAAATACAAAAGATGAGATTGCACCAAGTAATTAGATACCAAGCATGTCAAGGTTCAAAATTATGTGTGCCTGTGAAATTACAAAAAAACAACTTTACCTTAAATTTTCAGTTGGCAACGCTTAAAAAGTTTTTACAGGTTATCAATTTAGTGTTAACAGTGGATGGTGACCCTAGAATTACTGCTCCCACTCTGGCATGTGTCGCAATACCTAACGTGTGTGGTGCAATCATCATTTTCTTACATAGGGGCATTAGTACTGTCTTCCTTATATTGTACAACACTGCGCAAATTGTTGGTGCAATATAAACCCTGTATAATAATAATGTAGGTTGGGAGACTTTTAAAAACTTTTTTTAATTTTATTTAATAATTTACTAATGGGCTCACAAGCACCCTTTGTGATAGCTGATTAGTGGTGACAGGTTATTTATAAGGAGACATTAGGGGTCTATTAGAATCTTATCAATCACAGATTGTGCTTGATTAGCTTCATCCATGACAACAGCAGCCAGGGAATGACATCTCAATAATTGGAAGTGACAACATTCTTCTTGCTTCCAGCTTTATGCACCAGTGTAGACACTGACACTTAACATGGCCATATTGGGCCTGCAGGAGGAGCCAGAGATACATGTTGGGGGATGGGGAGGGCAGGGCGATGCTGTACATTAGATGGTGCATGGAAGTAATCAGGCAACTATAAAGCGGACAGTTGGCTGCTTACAAGGCCGTGCTGGAAGGGTTGAAGCTGAACCCTGGGATAAGTAAATGTCACAAATGTCAAAAACGTCACAGGTATGCACGGTATCATGTGACGTTGTGTGCCCCGCCTCCCGGATAGCAGGGTGCTTGCACAGAAGGCGCCACTGGCTGATTTTGAAATAGCATAAAATGTGTTTTGTTGGACAAAACCAATGAAAACGTCTTTAGTTTCCATACATTTTGTCTGAAACAAATTTTTAGTCTTTGCACATGTCTAATAATATGTGTGCATGAGTGTGTGGGGGAAAGGGGTGTTTTGCGATTTATTTTTTAAAATGTATTTTTAATTTTTTACTGGGTTTATTGACTTACCTCTTCTCTCTCCTCTCTCTCTCCTCTTCTCCTGGCCGCCGAAAGATCTGAACTGCGCGTGCGCCCGCCCCATAATCCTTTGCGGCCGTCTGAGAATTTTCAGATCTTCAGACGGGAGCGTGTGGTGGAGACACAGGTAAGTTTAAATCTATTTGGTTCTTTTTAAAAAAAATGTTTTTGCATATATCTACTGCTAACAAGCAGTAGATATATGCAAAAAGTAAAAACAAAAACAAAACAACACTTTGAAAAGGGTCAATACTTACCTGTGTCTTCCCCGTACCTGTGTCTTCCCCGTGCGCTCCCGTCCGAAAATCAGAAAAATCTTGGGCGGCCGCAAAGCATCTTGGGGCGGGCACATGCGCATGTTCGGATTTTCGGCCGGGAGACGAGGAGAGACACAAGGTAAGTATATGGACGCGTGCACCCGCATGCAGACACCGTGGGACAGGAGGTGCCAGCAAGCACAGAGGAGTCAGCGCTGGATCGGAGACCCTCAACAGCGCTGGAGAGAAGGCTGAAAAGGACAGGAAAGAGGAAGATCGGATTAAGATACATCATTTAAGGAAAGTGCTGACATTAACATTGGGGGGAGGGAAAAAAAACCGTATCCTTTAACCACCTCCAGTCCGCTGATCGTTAAAAGACGGCCGGACGGGAGTCTCCTGGACGCGGGTGGGCGTCTTAAGACGTCCTTCGTGCCCGCTCACGCGCGCCCCCTGGTGTGCACGAGCGGGAAACCACCGCCTGGATTTTAAACAGCCAGCGATGGCCATTTACATACAAGCGGTCCGCCGTTTGTAAAGATGCCCGATCGCTTGTATGATTCAAGTGAGGGTGCGCCCCCCCTCCTTACCTCTGGTCGCCGTCGCTGTCCCCGCTGCCACCGTCCCCGCCATCCCGGGCGTCCATGCATCCCGGGCGATGTGGCGGCTCTGTGCACTGAGAACGGAGGGAGATCAATACCCGATCTCCCTCCGCTCTCCTCCCGGTCTCTGAATGCAGGAAGTGATGTATATTACATCACTTCCGCATTCCTCTGTCACTCTCCGGTACAGAAACCGTAACAGGTCTGTGCTTCATCAGCTTCTCTGGGGGTCCCTAGGTGACATTAGGGGTCTTAGAGACCTCTGATGTCTCCATAAAGGGGACCTGTAACTGTAATTTGTTATCATATAGGGAACTTCTTAGCACCCTATGTGATAACAATAAAGTTAAGTGTGAAAAAAGTAAAAAAAAATTCTGTTATATAGTAAAAAAGAAAACCCGTAGTGGTGATTAAATATCACTAAAAGAAAGCTCTATCTGTCCCCAAAAAATTGTATAAAATTAATTTCAGTACATCATTGCATGATGGAATAAACATCAGCCAAAGTACCTTAGCGCTGAATACTGAAAAATGGCCTGGAAGGAAGGGGGTGTAAACACCCAGGTCAGCAAGGGGTAATGTCACTTTCATGATTCTTTAAGCCCTTGGTTCTCAACTGGTGGGTTGTGACCCAAAAGTCGGTTGCGACCTTGTTTTCAGTGGGTCGCCGCGTGCCTTCCACTTTTCTATGTGAAAGGCTCCTCAGCCTCCCCCTATAGCAATATCAGTTGTTGCGCTGAGCAGCGATTCAGAATATGCTGCCTGGTGCCAAGTGTCAGCTTGAGCAGGGGTGGGCTGGAGCTATAGCCGCGAGGGAGCTTCATCCATACATGCATTGCTTACAGTTCCCTCATGTGACCTAGAGGGCGCACCAGGCAGTTGTACAAGCAATGCATGTATAGATGGAGCTCCCTCACAGCACAGCAGTCCAGCACTGGACCCCAAGCTGAGGATCGCCCGCACCGGTACGCACGGTACCGCAATGCCGTGCCTTCCATTGCAGTGTGACTTGGGTCGCCACTTAATGTCCAAGGACAAATGTGGGTCCTGAGGTTACACAGGTTGAGAACCACTGGTTTAAGCCATTGTTCATTAGAACTAGTATAGTTAGCTCATATACTGCCATCTTGTGGTCATTTTGTTTATTTTCTTTTTCTGTATTCCCTCCCCTTCTGTGGGGCGTACTTCCATTCTTTCCCAAATAGTCTTTTTGGTATCATGGTTGCATGTCTAAGGCCTCATTCACACTGCCGCGCATGTACACGCGTATTATACCATATGCAGCATATGCAAATAAATGGCTCCATACACATAGCTGCGTACGGAGCTGTATACTTGCGTAGCGTAAAAATGCGCAAAAACAGAATGGAACCGAGATGCGTCCGGGCAGCATATTTCTGCGTATTTTACACGCATTTGTGCGCGTATACGCACGTACAGTGCATTCAAATTTCTATTACGAATGATGCATTCTGGGATTGCATATAGTGCACGCATATACGCGCGTATATACATATACACACGCATATACACACACGCGTATATGCGTATACGTACGCGTATATACGCAATATACTATTTTGCTCTTGCGTTGTATGTGAATGAGGCCTTATGGCCACATGTTTATATGCTCACATGGGGGAAAGCATTACCATCTTTTGACCTGCAAATACCATCTTACTAATCTCTCGTTGAGTTGTCCAACTGCTGCCAGTGTGGTATAAAAGTGATACAATGCCTTTATTTCTCTTGGAGCTTGTAGTGGGTTCTGTTTAAGTATGTGGAATACAAATGATGCTAGGAGGATAAGTGAATCTTTTTATCTATTCTGCTTTTCTGTCCTGAAAGGAAATCAGAATGGATTAAAAGATTCACCCATCCCCATAACATCCTGTGTATTTCACATAATTCAACAGGACCCACTAAAAGCACCAAGTAAAATTGTTATGGGCTTTCTGTTAAGCCACCGGGTGTGTGCACATGCTCAATAACACCAACTCTTCCAAATTTCCTTCTGGCAATTCACCAGAAGTGATGTGGTTGCCGATCTCGATGAGTTGCCTGTTTCGACAGAACACCTGAAACATATTGGGGCTATGCTCTTGGAATCACTACATGTTTTGTGTCATTCCTGTGGCTGCAATGCATCATGGGACTTGTAGTTCCACAGCAGCTGGAGTGCCGAGGTGGCCTACCCCTGTCCCAGTACCCTATCATGCACAGACCAATGTCGATTATCGTTCGTTAGCAATACAAACTGGCCGAATTTCGTCGATCAACAGAGCAGATTTTCGTTTGCGCATGTGCAGTGTTCATTTAGCAATTTGTTTCTGTACTTATACATTGAATTTCGTACGATTTGAAAAAAGTTTTTCAGCCTGACCGATGAAATTCGCCCAGTTGTAGAGTTATCGTGATCGTTCACTTCCCATCAACTGGCTGATTATCGTATGAAAACCCAATCGAGTTAGTTTTCTGAATGATAATCGCAATGTGTATGGGCATCTTTAGGGGCTTGATTGTACAGATGAGGGCAGTCATAGGT